CCAGCGGACACCGCCGTAACACAGCCTCACCACCGCAATGCACCCGTGACGCAGCCCCACGGGCTTTTTCAGGCGGAGCTTATATATACACGCGTACAGAAGCATGGCAGCCCGCGGCCAAGTGATTACCGTGTCTCGTGCATGCACAGTGGTATAAGCGATCTCAGCTGTTATATAATCATTATTTACAAAACGTGGGGCAAGAGCGAGAGGGTGTGGGGGCGAGAGAGCCTGACCACCGCCATCCTGGCTAATTTGCTCTTTCCCTAGATAAACATAACACGGGTTTCTCAAGGAATCTGTAGAATCTTTCCTGTGAAAGACAGCCAACTAAAGGAAAGATGGTCTTCTTCAGACACTCTCCTACCACCACCTCTCCTTGGCGCTTCTCCTACCTCTCCAGCCTGCTCCTCAACTCTTCTTTGCAAGCCTCTCCTCTCCCATCGCGCACTCACTGGGGATTCCGGACTAGCTCTTACCTCCCCAATCTAAACCCTGCCCCGTACTGTCTCAAACACACTCACGACTTCAGTTACCTCCTGGGTACGGCTAAAAACTCCTACATCTTTATCGCCAGGTGAGAACTCTATGCACTCACTCCTTTACAAAGTTTATTAAACCCCTGCTACATGCAAACCACTGCTCTAAGCACTGAAGTTCCTGCTATGATGAGGTATGGATACAAGGGGAAAAAATAAATAAAACAGATACTGAAAATATCAGGTAGTAATAAGTGATGTCCACACAGAGAATTAAAATTAGAGTAATATCAAGGACTGCCTGGGTGTGCAGAGCTGACATGTCATGTAAGACGTAAATTATCAAAAGGGGTCAGCAAGATGAAGAAGGGCATCTTGGAAAGTTAAAGCAACTAGAACAAACACCCTATAACAAGAACAAGCTTGGCATTTTCTTATTTTCTAAGAACCAAAACGAAAATGGTCTGGCTGAAATACAATGAGAAAGTGAGAGTGGAAGCAATCCAGCCGAAGAGATGATGTCTCGCGGTAGAAAAGGAGCACAGCCAACTGCCTACTGGTAGTCATCTGTTACAACGCCCCAGAGGCACCTACAATTCAGATGTCCAAGACTGAACCCTTAACTTCTCAGTGATATACATTCCAGCTTTGGTATTTCTACTTTCAGAAGTCAAAGACATCACCAACACAACAGCCCAGTCAAACCCAGTAACCGCGCACTGTCCTTGCTGGCTCTCTCCTCAGCCCACCACATTCAGCCAAGCCAGCTCTTCAGCTCCTAAGCGCCTCGCGCTCGCCTACGCCCTAACGAAGCCGCTGCCACTACCCGGTCCAGGGCCTCATCGCCAGTTTGCAGTCTCCTTCCCTTGCCGTCTGTTCTCCAGTCTGCATCGAGTTAGCTTTCTAAAATCTTAACTATGATTAAGCACTTCCTCTACTCAAAATATTCCAACAGATTCCCACTGCCTGCAAAACAGTCCAAACTCCTGAACAAAACCCTGATCTGCCTACTGTTTATCTCAAGTTTTACCCCTTTCAAAACTACCAACCCCACCATGAGGTGCTCTGCTCACTAGTCTGGTCACAGTGAATTACTTGCAGCATTATCTCTTTTTTCCACCATTCATCACACCAATACCTACTTTCAGGTCACTAATTAGATAGCATTTCCTTATGGAAACCTCTCCGAACCACTCAAGGCCCAGGTGTCCCTCCAGCACACAGTATTTCTTCCACCATAGTACTTACTATACTTTTTTTTGCTTAATTTTCTGTTTCACTCATTCTCATGTGCTGCCATATAAAAAGTGCTCAATAAATACTTCAATAAATTAATGAATAAATGAAAAGACTTCTTTTTAATGCTGCACAGTGGACTAGATATCCTGAAAAAATATCTTTTCAAATGCATTGCTAAGCTAGCAAAGTGATCTGAAGGGGGCAAATATGAAGGGAAAGCAGGACCGCTACAGAATAAGAGAGCACACCAAGGTCAGTTGTTGCCCTGGTGATTTCTGTTGAAGCTTACACTCTTTGAGGTTCTATTTCTAGTTATGCCAAGTGTCTAGCTTTGTTTCTGGGTATCTCCTGTTAGGCTCTACATCTCTAGCAGAATTCTCTAGAATTCTGGTAACAGGAGATACCCAGAAACAAAGGTGGACACGGCATAACTGTGACCTAGAAAAAACACATGGGGCTTCCCTGACGGCTCAGTGGTAAAGAATCTGCCTGCCAGTGTAGGAGATGCCCAGGGTTTGGTTGATCCCCTGGTTGGGAAGATCCCCTGGAGAAGGAAATGGCAACCCACTCCAGTGTTCTTGCCTGGAAAATCCCATGAACAGAGGAGGCTGGCAGGCTACATTCCATGGGGTGGCAAAGAATCAGACACAACTAAGCAATTACACATCAACAAGAAAAAACACAGAAAAGGAGTCAGCAAAGAAGCAAGCCTGCCCCGACTTTTGTGTTAAGTGGTGGAGAAGAAAAAACCCCCCTGAACACCCTAGGGGTAAGGCAGTGCACACAAATTCACAGTCTGAACTCATGCTGCTCCTGTGGCCCAAAAGTCTTCAGCTGATCATTTAGTGTAATGTGGTCCCAAGCTGTATCTCCAGCAGCTAAGAGGCAAATGCAAACTCTCTATGCAGGAACACATCCTCAGTCAGAGACATCAAATAGTTCAAAGATATGAAACTAAATGGAAAACGAACAATTCTCAGTTTAAAAACAGATCATCATGAATGAAATCAGGAAATGAAAGAAAAAGGTAATACAGCAAAACCCAAAAGATTTCAGATAGCAGAATTTTCAGTCACAGAATATAAAACAGCTATGTTTAATGTCTAATAAAAGAGAAGTTTGAAAACACACAAGAGACCAACCAAGCAAGCTGAAAAATAAAAATACACAATTTCTAGACATGAAAAATATAATCATTTAAATTAAAAACTCAACAAGGTACCAACCAGCAGATTAGAGGCAACTACTAAGAGAGAATTAGTAAACTACGCAGACCTAAGAAAACAGTCCAGGAGTCAGGCCAGAAAGATAAAGAAAGACAAAGTATGTCAGAGAGTTTAGAGACATGGAAAATGATGCAGTAAATATTTTAGATTTCTGAACAGAGTTCCAAAGGAGAACAGAGAATTGAGAAGTGGTAATACACACTTCAAGGCATGCATGCTAAGTCAGTTCTTCTGTGTCAGGCTGTCTGCAACCCCATGGACTGCAGCCCGCCAGGCTCCTCTGTCCATGGTATTCTCCAGGAAAGAGTACTGGAGTGGACTGCCATGCCCTCCTCCAGGGGATCTTCCTGACACAGGAATGGAACCCAGGTCTCCTGAGGCTCTTGTAACATGCAGGCAGATTCTTTATTGCTGAGCCACTGGAGAAGCCCAGGGGCAGTGACAGAGAACTGCAGTATTCCAGAATTGTAGAAAAATGACAATTCTCAGATCCAGAAGCCCAACAAATCTCAGGCAAGGTACTCATTTTACTCATTTCATAGTGAAACTAAATTTTACACCAAAGAAAAAGACTTTCAAAATAAAGTTAAATTTTAAAAGTAAACAGAAAAGACATGAAAACAAAGGCATGATATCTGACTTCTCAGCAGTAACAATGTCAGCCAAAAGACAATGGAATAAGCTATGGATTAAATGTGCCTTTACCGTGAAAGAGTCTCACCTAAACAAATTTCTATAGGATGTTCGACACATCAGATAGAAAAGCAGAGACATAAGAAAAGATGGTTAACGAAGACTTTAGATTAAAAATTTAAATAATGATATAAATTTTAGAGAAGGAAAAGAGAGTAGAACAGATACAAGATACTAGCCAACAAATAACACGTAAGTTCAGAGTGGGTGACCAGAGTGAACATTCTGAACTCTATTTTTCAGAAGGAAAGTAAACTTTTCAATTACCCTTAGACTTAACAGATACATAAAGCATATACCTCCCAAGCAAGTATGTGTGTGTTTGTGTATATGAGGGAACGGGGATAATGGAATAAGAAAAATAAGATTTTATTAGGAGGCAAAAAAAAGTAATTAAACACTTACACACACACACACAGGGAAGCACATGATATAATGAGACAAATATGTCCAAATATATCAATGACTGTAGTAAATGTAATCAGGCTAAACTTTCCATTAAAAGACAAAAATTATCAAACTAGGACAAAAAAGCTTAAAGTCAAAGGACAGGAAAACTGGAAGACTGGAATTGACATATATATATTACTATATAGTATTACATAATATAATACTGTATTAGGTAACTAATGAGGATCTAAAACAATTAAAAAATTAAAGATTAATGAGCAAAACAGCTAACTGGTCATTGAAACATGATCACCAGGGGACTCCCCTGGTGGTCAGTGGCTAAGACTCCAAGCCCCAATGCAGGGGCCCAGGTTTGATCCCAGGTCAAACTAAGAGCCTGCATGCAACAACTAAGACACGTGCTGCAACCAGCAACCTTGCATGCCACAACCAAGACCCAGCCCAGCCAAACAAATACTGCTTTTAAAAAATGAGTAACAATAAATACAAAGGAAGCAGAAAGGAGAATATAATTAGGTAAGAGTAGAAATTAATGAAATAGGAAACAAAAATACAACATAAAGACTGAAAGTAAAAAAATCATCACTTAGTAAAAATAATAAAACTGACAAAGCTCAGGCAAAATTAATAAAGTAAACAAACACTACTAGGAATGAAAAAAAGAGTACATATGCTATTTAAAAATGTATACAGAAAATACCATGAACTTTATATCACTATATTAAATTTAGTTGAAGTGGATAAATTCCTGGGAAAAAAATGGAACTTACCAAAATTGAGTCAAAAAGAAATAGAAAAATTAAAAGAAATTAAGTCAGCTCCTCATGAAAAACACACTAGCTCAGATGGTTTTACTTAAAAGTTCTATCAAACATTCAAGGAACAATCTCATGCAAACTATTCCTGTATACAGGGGGAGGAAAAAAAACTATTTTAAAAGATTGATACATACCGGCTTCATCAAATGAAGGTACTTTCTCCATTTTCTGAGTCTGTGATCCCTGTCCTTCTTTCTGAACATTTGTGGAATACAACTTTACTTGATTCAGTGTACAGCATGGAACGCTGTTTGAAAAGCTTCCAAATGTCATTAAATTCTGCCATTCTAAAAGAAAAAAATTTAAATTTCAAACAAACTAGTAATAAGGATTTTTATACCCAATAAAGCCTACCTATGATTAGAAAGAGAACAAAATAACAGTAAAATCTGCACTCTGATAAACACCCAAATGCACAATGTTAAGCCACCCTTTCCATACAGGTGTCTCATCGGCCCTTAGGTTACAGCGCCTATATTCTGTAAAGGAAACATAAAGATAATATTCCTTCTTTTCTCATTTGCAAATTTATATAGAAATTTTTTTAATTACATAAAGTCAAATAGAACAGCTATTCTGAAATGTCTCTGGCATATAAAAGGTACTCTTTATTTTGTATGTTGGTTGCATGCTAAAAGAAAATGGCATAATATAACTTTCAGAATAAGAACTCTAAAAGGAGAAAGGTCATGAAGGCTTTCTACTCAAAATTACATTGCGTCTTCCTTCTGTTAGCTGAAACTCGGTCCTTTTCCATTTCACAATCGATATGTGAATTATATTAATCAGTCATTCATACTGTCACTGATTTTTTAAAATCAGATAAATAAATCAACATTTGGTGAGATTCCTCAGTATATGGGAATTCTAATTGAGGGAAGAATAGAAGTCTAACTACAAAGCACCTTAGCTGCTGCATCTGGGCTGATTGTGGGCTTTGGAGGGCTGAAATAGAAAACTATAGTCCACATTTGCATCGAAGTGGTAGAAAAGTAAATCTGTCTCTACTCTTGTGTGACCCTGTCTGTTATTTTTTATGCTGAGGAATGAAACTTGAAAACGTTGTTTAGGTACAATTTATACATTTTCTAAAATGTAGGTAAAATAGTGAAATTATACCATTAGAAACAGTCAAGTTAAGCATTTAACAGTTGAAACTTCTCTAACTGCTTAATAATGATCTTCCTAAAATGTTAATTCATGTATTTGCATGTGTAGATTGCCTTCTGAAATCAAAGAAAATAAATATTTTTTTAATGGCTCAGAGAATTCATCAGGAACATCAATTACTGTGAATACCGAAGGTAGTCTGAAATGCATGAGGGACATAAGGCAGCTTTAAGTAGTCACTCAAATTTCAGGCTTAAAACTTGTTTTCTTGAAAAACTTCATGACGCCAACTTAAATCTTTCATTTGGCAAATATTTGTTGAAGGCTCCGTATGGTTTTTATTTTTGGTCATTTGCCGCTACTTATTAAAGGCTGAGTAAAGCAAATATAACAATATATCTTTGCATATGAAAATAAATACATCACTAGCAAAACTAGTGACACAAAGGCTAAAGCAATTTCTCCCTGGAAAACCATCCTCCAGGAAAGCATCTTCTTCACCACCACCACTGGTGTTCTTGCTTGTCAGCCTTGCTCAAAGTATCTTTTGTGACTATTAACAAACAAAAACAATATACCACTTCCATTTTTTAAACCCACTGATGAAACACTTCTATAGAGATTGTGTTTTAAGGTGTTTAAAGAGGGATTACTACCATCTAAAACTCTTGCCTCAGAAGATGACAATATATTCGTAACTTGATCCTCGATCTTGTTCAAAGTTCTCCTTAACTTTAAAAATATTTTATTACAGAAAATTTTAAATATATACAAATGTAGAAAAAACAGTACAATAAACATACATGTACTTATTACCTGACTTCAACAATTATCAACTTGTGGACAACTCTGTTGTATCTCTACCTCACCAGTATCTCATCTACATATTAATTTGATGCAAATCTCAGACATAAAATAATTTCATTCATAAAAATTTCAGTATGCATTCTAAAAGATAAGAACTTTTTAAAACCTAGCTAATGCTGGATCATTGAAAAAGCAAGAGAGTTCCAGAAAAACATCTACTTCTGCTTTATTGACTATGCCAAAGCCTTTGTGTGGATCACAATAAACTGTGGAAAATTCTGAAAGAGATGGGAATAACAGACCACCTGAGCTGCTTCTTGAGAAACCTGTGTGCAGGTTAGAAAGGAACAGTTAGAACTAGACATGGAACAACAGACTGGTTCCAAATAGGAAAAGGAGTACGTCAAGGCTGTATATTGTTACCCTGCTTATTTAACTTATATGCAGAGTACATCATGAGAAACGCTGGGCTGGAAGAAGCACAAGCTGGAATCAAGATTGCTGGGAGAAATATCAATAACCTCAGATATGCAGATGACACCACCCTTATAGCAGAAAGTGAAGAGGAACTAAAGAGCCTCTTGATGAAAGTGAAAGAGGAGAGTGAAAAAGTTGGCTTAAAGTTCAACATTCAGAAAACTAAGATCATGGCATCTGGTCCCATCACTTCATGGGAAATAACGGGGAACAGTGGAAACAGTGTCAGACTTTATATTTTGGGCTCCAAAATCACTGCAGATGGTGATTGCAGTCATGAAATTAAAAGACGCTTACTCCTTGGAAGGAAAGTTATGACCAACCTAGATAGCACATTAAAAAGCAGAGACATTACTTTGCCAACAAAGGTCTATCTAGTCAAGGCTATGGTTTTTCCAGTGGTCATGTATGGATGTGACAGTTGGACTATAAAGAAAGCTGAGCACCGAAGAATTGATGCTTTTGAACTGTGGTGTTGGAGAAGACTCTTGAGAGTCCCTTGGACTGTAAGGAGATCCAACCAGTCCATCCTAAAGGAGATCAGTCCTAGGTGTTCATTGGAAGGACTGATGCTGAAGCTGAAACTCCAGTACTTTGGCCACCTGATGCAAAGAGTTGACTCGTTCCCTGATGCTGGGAAAGACTGAGGGCAGGAAGAGAAGGGATGACACAGGATGAGATGGCTGGATGGCACTACTGACTAATTGGACATGAGTTTGGGTAAACTCTGCGAGTTGGTGATGAACAGGGAGGCCTGGCATGCTGCAATCCATGGGTCGCAGAGTCGGACAAGACTGAGCGACTGAAATGAACAATAACCGAGGTTTTTTAAAAATATTTATTTATTTGGCTGTGTTGGGCTTTAGCTGCATCACACAGGATCTTTCACTGCCACACGTGGGCTCTCGAGTTGGGCACATGGGCTCCAGAGCTCACCGGCTTACTTGCTCCAAGGTATGGGGATCTTAGTTTCACCAGGGATCAGACCCTCACTCTCGATAGTTAAAGTGAATAATCCTGACCTCTGGACCACCAGGGAATTCCCAACTCCTGTGTCCTTGTGATACTACCCTAGTAATCTTGCTAGCTTCCTTGCTCACTGTTTCAAAAAGTTATTAAATTTTAACTTTAGAGGAATTTCAGATATCAGCAAGTTTGAAAGTACATATTTGGCATGAATACAAGCCAAAACTTCAAGGAAATTGCAGAATATACAGGACAACATTTGACTCAATAAAATACACAGAATACCTAAAACACAGCAGTAGAAACTCAACTGTTTGTTGAATAAATTACTGAATTTGTTAATTAATTCTGGGAGGCAAAAAGATAGTAAAAAAAATATTACCCATCATTTATACCCTCTCTTCAAGGTGACTTCTAAAATAAGCTATGTTAAGCTACAGATGAGTCTTTAGTTCGGTGCTCACCACTCTATGGACTGGCACAAGGAACTGCTCATTGATGTGTATACAAGCGCTGCTTTTTCATCACGACTGCAGAGCTAGGTATCTTATCAGTCTAACCCAACAATCACTCTTCTCTGCTTTTATTTTACTGTTACTGTCTCTGCAGCTCCTAATGACATTGCTACTGATCACCCCTTGTCCTCTCCAATCTGGTTTGTCACCTACCACTTACTCTGGCTTTTAGAGGAAATTTGGCCTTTTTTTTTTCAGACTACAACAATACAAAAAACTCTCTTTCTGCCAGGCAAACTGACAATTCTGTCTACTATGTATGGTGCTTCTGCAATAACAGTAACTAAAAAACAAACAAAAAGATTTCTTAACGGTTTGAAATGTTTCACTTTAGGCTAGTTTCAGGAAAGAGATAAACACATACCTAAGTCTCTCAGAGATCAGTCTCTCTACTTGAGACCACTGCAGATGGATGGACCAGACATTATCATACTGAGTGAATTAAGTCAAACAGAGAAAGACAAATATCATATTACTTACGTTTGGAATCTAAAAAGATGACAAAAATAAACTTACTTACAAAGCAGAAACAGACTCACAGATGTAGAAAACAAACCTGTAGTTACCAAAATGAAGTGAAAGCCGCTCAATTGTATCCAACTCTTTGTGACCCCATGGACTATACAGTCCATGGAATTCTCCAGGCCAGAATACTGGAGTGGGTATCCTTTCCCTTCTCCAGGGGATCTTCCCAACCCAGGGATCGAACCCAGGTCTCCCGCACTGCAGACGGATTCTTTACCAGCTGAGCCACAAGGGAAGCTCTAGTTACCAAAGGAGAGGTAAATTAGGACCTTGGGATTAACATACACACCTGGTGGCTCAGACAGTAAAGAATCTGCCTGCAAAGCAGGTGACCCACCCAGGTTTGATCCCTGGGTCAGGAAGATCCCCTGGAAATGACAACCCACTCCAGTAATCCTGCATGGAGATTCCCACAGACAGAGAAGCCTGGTGGGCCACAGTCCATGGGGTCACAAACAGTCGGACATGACTGAGCAACTAACTTTTTATACATAAAATAAACAAGGACCTACCGTATAGGACAGGGAACTATATTTAATAACTTGGAATAACATACAATGGAAAAGAATCTGATAATATATGTGTGTGTATGTATAACTAAACCATGATGTTGCATTTTTTAAAAAAAGCAAAATACAGGTTGATTTCAACTATTAAATGTGACTCTGGTAACATATCTGGATTATGCGTAATTTTTACTCTGTATGTTAATACTTTTCTGTATTTTCCCCAATGCCTAAAATTTTAAATTAAAAATATATCCATTGTTAAATTACTTCTAACATTATTTCTGCTAATAAGAGCACACTGACTGTCTCTAGCTTACTTTTATACTTTCAGCAAGCAAAAAAAAAATGCAAGAAAATCCCTTTCAGGCCTAATCATCAGGCAAGCAAAAGGACTGCCTGGTGACTTACAGCAAGCAGCTCGACCTTCAGGACTACTGCTGATGTGATTTTTCACCAGAAGAGACTAAGCAACAAGGAAGCTTTTTTTTTTTTTTTTGAGTATGTAAGGAATATGCAACTTTCTGCACTGCATCTTGGCATACAACTCTACTTCCTTACTTAATTCTTAATATTTCCTTAGAAAAGGGGGGGGGGATATTTAATATATTACGGATTCACCAAGTGCCACTGTTCTAAATGCTCTACCTGTATTATCACACTATAATTTATATCCCAAAGCACGCCTCAAAATCACCTGCACCTCTCCATCTCCAGCCCCTTTTCACACTGTTCATGGGACTCTCAGGATGTTCACTGGAAGGACTGATGCTGAAGCTGAAACTCCAATACTTTGGCCACCTGATGGGAAAAGCTGACTCACTGGAAAAGACCCTGATGCTGAGAAAGACTGAAGGCGGAAGGAGAAGGGGACGGCAGAGGAAGAGATGGTTGGATGGCATCACCGGCTTGATGAACAGGAGTTTAAGCAAGCTCCAGGAGCTGGTGATGTACAGGAAAGCCTGGCATGCTGCAGGCCATGGGGTCGCAGAGAGTCAGACACAACTGAGCGAGTGCACTGATCTCCACTGCTGAGTGCCACGGCCCAGCTACAATCTTCTTTGTGTGACTAACTCTAACAGCCCCCTACTGGTCTCCTTATTTACACTTTCCCCTTTCCAATCCATTCTCTACACAGTAGTCAGAATGATATTTTTAAAACACTTCCTTTTTTTGCCCCTGAAACCTACGGCCCAAAAGGCTGTGAAAGTGAAAGTTGCTCAGTCGTGTCCAACTCTTGCGACCCCATGGATTATAGTCCATGAACTTCTCCAGTCCAGAATACTGGAGTGGGTAGCCTTTCCCTTCTCCAGGGGATCTTCCCAACCCAGGCATTGAACCCAGGTCTCCAGCAATGCAGGCAGATTCTTTAACAGCTGAGCCATCAGTGACACCCAAGAATACGGTGGAGTAGGTAGCCGATCCCTTCCCCAGCGGATCTTCCTGACCCAGGAGTCAAACCACGGTCTCCTTGAGACCTCTCAGATCTCACTTCACACATCCGTCTCCTTCCAAGCATACCCCAGCCACAGCATGTTTCTGCTCCTGAATACTGCAAGTCTCATCTTCAGGGTTTCTATTTGCTCTGCCTGGATTGCTCTTTGCCCCAGATCTTCACCTGGCTTGCTCATTTTCATTTGTCATGACTTGCCTCAGTCACCACCTCCTTAGAAAAGCTGGAGTCCCAGGCCAGCAGACCTAATAAAATGGCCCCTGCAGGCTTCTAGGCTACCACTCAGCTTATTTCTTTTAGTGTTTAGGTATGTTTTCTCATTCCTCATTTCCAAAAAAGGTGGAAATTCTGTCTTGTTCAGTACAATGCCATCAGCAACTACAATGCCTGATACCTCTTCCTGAATGATCCTCACTCGCAACAACCCTATACATGAAACATATATTGTGGTTAACCTCACTTTACAGGTGACCTTATCACTAACCTGAACTACACAGAATCCTGCTGTCACTCTGCCAAAACGGTCTTTTACAACTGTCAATGCTTCTGTTAGTTATTTAAGGGATTAGCCCCCCACTCTACTTTTCATATGGTAGTACGAGCACGTTACAGACTGACATTTAAAAATACAAAGGTTAATTTCTATCTTCTTATGTAAAAACTATACTTTTATTAATCTTGGATTTCAGCAAAAGCCTGTATCTGTTGATTTGTAGTCTGTAAGGGAGCATCCCCCACCTCAAATCCTTGTCAACGAGGCAAGGTACAAATACATGAAAAATAAGTGAGACATATACATCAAGAACATTTTCCCAGGTCACTAAATATTCTTCTAAACTATATCTTTTTAAGGCTGCATCTATCACCAGCCCTTAATAAATACACCATAATATGGTATATTATACCATACACTTTTCATAACTGTAATACACTCTTCATAACTGTAAATGTTACCTATTTATTACTATTAATAATAAACTTGTGTGCACACTTTAGTATGTAGCTGGTTATTTCTTGAAAGCACATCCCTTTAAGTAGAACTGCTAGGTGAGAAGGCATAGACCTTAAAGGTTCATTTTAGTACAAGGAATAACTGACCTTCAAAACACTGACAAACTAACTATATGTCCCAGTCAATAGTAAGAGTTTCTGCTTCCCTGCACCCTCAATATGGAGTATCACTATGAAAAACTTAGTTAATATGAAAGCAATTAGCAGTAAATCCTTTAGATTTATATTTCTATACTTATTAGTAAGTATGGAACATTTTTGCATTTGATTGGTCACTCAAATGCCCTTATGAATGCATTCATCTCCTTCGCCCATTTTTCTACTGGAATGTACTTTGGCTTGTAAAAATTTTTTATAAATTAGAATACTAACTCTATGACTGTACTGTCCAGTACAGTAGTCACTGTTCACTGAGCACCTTAAATGTGGATAGTCTGAACATGTGCTCTTAAGTGTAAAATACACACTGGACTCCAGAAACAGGTCAAAAAGACAAAGTGAAATACTCAGCAATTTTTATATTGATCATAATATTGAAATACTTTGAATATACTGGGTAAACTATATTAACAAAATCAATTTCATCTGTTTTTACTTTTTAAAACATGGCTATCAGACAAATCAAAATTACCTACATGATACACATTATCTTTCTTTCAGACAGAACTGCCCTCGAATATTGTTTTCCTTGTTGCCTTTAAATGTTTACAGTGTTAATCTGACCCACCAGCATTTCTCATCTTTGAGCATGCATAAGCAGCAGTTTGGAGAAGGAAATGGCAACCCACTCCACTATTCTTGCCTAGAGAATCCCGTGGACAGAGGAGTCTGGTGGGCTGCTGTCCATAGAGTTGCACAGAGTTGGACACCACTGAAGCACCTGAGCATGCATGCACGCACTGGAGAAGGAAATAGCAACCCACTCCAGCATTCCCACTCCAGCATTCTTGCCTGGAGAATCCCGTGGACAGAGGAGCCTGATGGGCTGCCGTCTATGGGGTCGCCCAGAGTCGGACATGACTGAAGCAACTTTGCAACAGCAGCAAGAAGCAGTTGTTTCCCTTAAGATTCTTCCTCTACTACTCTTCTTAAATTTACACAGGGGTTTTAGAAGCACACACTAAACTTTATTTCTTGACAAAGTAAAAACATTTATTCCTAGAAATTTCTCCCCAAAAGTTCTTCCAATATTCTTTCTTAAGAAAGAAATCCAACTTAATTACTACTTTTTCTAAACAATCCTTTTGAAGTTTTATAAGAATTATTGTTGCCCTTTTAAAAATTGTTTGGGCATTATTGAAACTAAATTTGCACCAACAAGCTTATTTTTCAATCTACTATTTTTAAGTATGAGAACACATTTTAATTTTTTGGTAATAAACAACTTTGCAGTCATTCTGACTGGTGGGACAGGCGATTCTTATCACAGAGGGTTAAGACAAGAGCACATAAATTTCAACAGAGAATAATGAATTACAAATTACATTATTTCACCTCCTTTTACCAACTTAAAGGCAGTTTAGACTAAATTTAGGCTACAGTCCACTGGGTTGCAGAGTGGGACATGACTTAGCCACCAAACAACAACAAACAGCCACTCCACCTTATTTAAGTGTAAAAGGCTGAAATTACTTGGTCAATAGAAGCAACCATGCTAGAAAGTTTAGCTGAGGATTTTGGAGTACGGTACAACCAGATGATTCATTTTGTTTACTAGAGAATCAGGTGTATTTCCCATTACTGGAAAACTCCACAGCTACACGTTATCACTACCAAAAAGTCTCCCAAAACAGCTCTGTTAAAATGAACCCTTCTGAAATTTTAAGAGTCAGTTTCTACATTTATTACAAATAAAAAATAGGACCATATTCTAAAATAACTGCACAGTAAAGGGTTTCTAAAGGTTGTGTTACTTATAAACTTGAATAACTACAACTTCCAACTTTTATTGCAAAGTCACAAACATGCTACAAGATTTTTCAAACATAAACTTTGGGGAAATGTTTCTTTAAATTCTCTTTTCACCCACAAGAATCTGGGGGATTAGGTTAGGGGTGGATTTGATTCTGTCTCTCCCTCACTGTTCCTCTCGGTCTGCGTGACTACCGGAGGTAAGCCTGACTCAGACTTGCAAGTTCAATGATATTTTGTAAACTGCCAACTGAAATTTGAGTCAGAAAAGATTGTTGGAAAAGAATTATGAAAACAGTAAACATTTCTTCACCAGAAAGTGTTTTCAACCGAACTGAGTTCATCCATTAATTGCGGGACTGTCAGAGTCTCTCATTAAATAATTACTCGTAAATGTTAAGCAGTAACTCCCAACTTCCTCTCAGAAAATTTAATAAAACAAGCTAGTTATATGAGAAAAGCTGCACGGTAAGAAAATCTACTGAGTCACAAGTGCTCAATAAAGGGAAGGCGGTGAGCTGAAAAGACCCTGGAATTTGGAGTCAGCAATTTCCTACTGACTGGGGGAGGAGGCGGGCGGTCACCGCCAGGCACCAAGATGCTCACGAAACGAAGCAGTCGGTTTCATGGATGCCACCGGGACCGCGAACTGGCCCCAAGTTCCCGCGGGGGCCGTGCTAGAACTGTACCCGAGACCAGATCAAGGAGGCCTGCAGGGGCCCCCGCTGGGTGGGTAGCCTGAACTGCAAAGTCGGAGGCCCGAACGGAAGGTTCTTTGACTGGGGAAGGGCAAGGCGGCGTACTGCCCGAGGCGAGGCACCCGGCTCCGAGCCCGGCCTTGTCTTCAAGTCCGGCTTCCGCGGAGTCAGTGGTCGGCGCGGCACACTCACCCTGGCGGTCGCTGGAGCCGCGGGCCGCCGCCCTGCAGCGCAGACGAAGCCGGCACAGGGAAGACCAGCTACATCTGTGGGCCGCAGCGGCGGCGGCCAAGCCCGGTAACATCCTGGCGGGGCAAAGGCCCCCACTCGGACACCGCCTGCTGCCTCCGCGCCGCCGCCGCCACCAACTGACTCCATAGACCGGACACTACCGAACACCGACGCCTGCGCCGCCTCAGGCGGCTTCAGCGAACCCGGAAATGGTAACATCATTTAGAGACCTGGCTGCGGAGGCAGCGGAAGTGGCGTGCGTGAGCAGGGCCAATCGCGAGACCTTGCCAGACCCTAACCACCTGGGGAGGGCGTGGCGGCGCAGGACGTTTGGCGTCTTCCGTCTTCCGCGCTTCTACCTTGGCGCTTTGTTTGGATGTGTGGAGGCAAGCTGGAATCAAGATTGCCGGGAGAAATATCAATAACCTCAGATATGCAGATGACACCACCCTTATGGCAGAAAGCGAAGACTAGCTAAAGAGCCTCTTGATGAAAGTGAAAGAGGAGAGTGAAAAAGTTGGCTTAAAGCTCAACATTCAGAAAACTAAGATCACGGCATCTGGTCCCATCACTTCCTGGCAGATAGATGGGGAAACAATGGAAAGAGTGATAGACTATTTTGGGGAGCCCCGAAGTCACTGCAGATGGTGACTGCAGCCATGAAATTAAAAGACGCTTACTCCTTGGAAGAAAAACTATGACCAACCTAGACAGCATATTAAAAAGCAGAGACATTATTTTGCTAACAAAGGTCCATCTAGTCAAAGCTCTAGTGTTTCCAATAGTCACATATGGATGTGAGAGTTGGACTATAAAGAAAGCTGAGTGCTGAAAAGTTGATGCTTTTGAGCTATGGAGTTGGAGGAGACTCTTGAGAGTCCCTTGGACAGCAAGGAGATGAAACCGTTCAATCCTAAAGGAAATCAGTCCTGAATATTCTTTGGAAGGACTGAAGCTGAAGCTCTAATACTTTTGTTGCAGAAAGGGGGACCCCTGCCAGGGCGCGAAACTGGGCTCTTGTCTAACACTCGGAAAGGAATTGTCTGAGGAGACACATGCTGACAAAGCAAGAGATTTTATTGCAAAGGGCACCCAGGTGGAGAGCAGTAGGTAAGGGAACCCAGGAGAACTGCTCTGCTGTGTGGCTCGCAGTCTTGGGTTTTATGGTGATGGGATTAGTTTCCGGGTGGCCTTTGGCCAATCATTCTAACTCAGAGTCTTTCCTGGTGGCGCACGCAGCGCTCAGCCAACAACGGATGCTAGCGAGAGGGCTTCTGGGAAGTGGATGGACAGGCAGTGTCTCCTCTCGACCTTTCCCAAACTCTTCTGGCTGGTGGTGGCTTATTAGTTCCGTATTCCTTACCAGGATCTCCTGTCATAAAACAACTCATGCAAATGGTTACTATGGTGCCTGGCCAGGGTGGGCAGCTTCAATTAGTGTGCTTCTTGATGCAAAGAACTGACTCATTGGAAAAGAGCCTGATGCTGGGAAAGATTGAAGGCAGGAGGAGAGGGGGACGACAGAGGATGAGATGGTTGGATGGCATCACCAGCTTGAAGGACATGAGTTTCAGCAAGCTCTGGGAGTTGGTGATGAACAGGGAAGCCTGGCATGCTGCAGTCCATGGGGTCTCAAAGAGTTGGACACTTCTGAGCAATTGAACTGAACTGGAATCATTAATAGACTGAATTATCTCATGTTTTTGAATTATATAAGTCTTTCAAACCAAGAAGCCACATTTTGCCTACACTTCTGGGTGAAAACATCCCTGACTAATATGGTTGTGGTGGTTCAGTCACTTAAATTGTGTCCTGATTTGATGGACATGAGTTTGAGTAAGCTCTGAGAGTTGGTGATGGACAGGGAGGCCTGATGTGCTGCAGTCCATGGTGTCACAAAGAGTCAGACACGACTGAGCGACTGAACTGAACTGACTGTCTTCCTCACTTCTACTGTGGCACTTTGCTTGGATGTCTACACGTGAATTATTTGCTTCTTAACAGCCCGTGAAAACTTTGGCAGAAGTGACAGCTTTGGGGGGCTCTGCCTACTCTCCTTTTTTCTGGGCTCAGATCCTGGGCCATTCTGTTGGAACGGGATGGAAGGTGGGAAGGAAGGACAGTGGCCTTCTGAGCCTCTCCTTCTGCTGAGCCTTACTGAATAAGCCCAAGACTAGGCTAATTTGTCCTCGGTGCTCTCAGAACCTGTACCCCAGTATGTCACTACACCACTGTGTAGCCATGACCAGGAAGGCAAGTACCCACAGAATCAGAACTTGCCTTACTAAGCTCTGAACCTCAGACTCCTGTCTATAACATAAGACTTACATGCTCAGGGTTTATCTGGGTAGACCAGGTGTGCAGACAAGTAAATAGGAGTCAGTGTGGTCCCAGGGAGAAAGCAATCAGAACAATGTTCACCAAGCATTAGCTGTGATGTTTCTCTGACATGTTCTCAGGTCTTAGCTCAAACAAGCAACGCCTGCCATGACCGCCCTAACTATTGTAGCGGAGCGAGATTTGCCACCCAGAGTGAGTTTGTTTGGCATGTGGATTAGTTTGGGCTGATTTTTTTAAGGTCAAAGACTCATTACCTTTGACCTTTCCCCTACCTGCTTAAAAGAATGTGGAGGACATGTTCTGCCAAGGATGATACCACCATAGATAACCATAGTACAAACTAGATGTGTAGACTCAGAGAAACCTAGTAAAGTCTGCTAAAATTCCCCTCTGTGTCCCATTGTGTTTGCTGACCCATCAAATATTTGTTTACCAAACGTCTGCTGTTCTTTCTCCTTTTCAGTTGCCTTCCTCCCCTTGGAAGTCCCAAACTACCACCCCTAACATCCTCTTTTTTTCTTTAACTGAAGATGGTATTCAAGTTGGCCATTTTGGAGAGTTACTCAGTTTTCCTGGATCTTTCCTATGTATACATGTTGTTGAACTTTTGTTTGATTTTATCCTGTTCATCCGTCTGATGTAAGTTTAACTCTTAGACCAGCTAGAACTTAGAAGGTGTAGACTTAAAAAATATTGAGAGTTACATTTTATTCAGCAGAAATTTTTAGGACTTCAAGCCAGGGAAGCAGCATCTCTAATAACCCGAAGAGAACTGCTCCGAGGAGGTGAGGGGAGAATCAGGTTATATAGTTTTGCAACAAAGGGCAGGTAGTTTGAACATCAGAAGATTATTGTTAATTAAAGGGATACCAGATACCTCATTTAGCACCTGTCTATGTATGGGAAGATGCAAGAGTCTGTGCTCACTGAAATTATTCCTTCTATACGTGCCTCAGCTATCTGGGGCCAGTGTCCTACATTTTCATACACTGTCCTGTATGTCCTGAGGAATGCTGAGATTCCTCAGGGCTCACCAGCTCACCACTGATGGTGACTGCAATCGCTGATGACTGTGATATCCTTTGTTTACTGGTATGGCAGGAAATATTCTGTTTCTCAAAGAGTAGAGGAAAATTTCTTCCTCCCTGATGCTATAATAGGCCTGTTTATTCTCTACCCCCTTTGCCCTGTATGGTTTTCTTCAAAATGCTTATATATACTTGAAATTATCTATACATTTTTTATAATTTTCTGTCTCTCAGAATGAAACATAAGTATCATGATGCTGGAGGCTTGTGTCTTGCCCATTGCAGGTTCCCAGGGATAAAACAGTGCCTGACACAAATAAATTAATTGAATGGAATACATGATGGTTTATTTTAAAATTAATGAGTCACTTGACTATAGTGCTACTGAGGCAGGGATAGGTGAGCTCCAGTGTAGATATTTACAACCAGCCTCCTGTTTGCTCTCCAAAATGGAAGTAACAACTGAAACAGGGTAATTAGTCAGACTTTGTCTCCTGTGGACACCTTCAGATAACAGTCATGACAGGAGCAGAGAGGGGCTAAACATTGTTTGAGTAAAGGATCAAGAGGACATGTATTTCCCCTCCTGGGGGATAGAAAGGAGGGGCACAGCCCCAGAACATGTGATTCCATAGGCCTCTGGGCTGAAGCCCATCTTGGAAAGTTGCACACGCATGTTGGGGAGGGTCCTAGGGCAGGTCAGGTGTGGAAAAAGAAACCAGATAATTCGCCAAAGGAAAACAAAGAAGAACTATCCTATATAAATGACTTAACTGCCTCTTTACTGCCCTTCTCCTCGCTCAGGGGGATGCCCACACCCTTCCTCTCCAAGTGTGCGTCTCTGCCTTGCTCCTGTCTTAACTAAAAAACTGTTTCTTTGTGTGTGCTCCCTCTTGTCGTAACGCTCTGTCTAATAATAAACTTTGTACCTGCATTTACAGTTTTTGCCTCTGTGAGAAATGAATTTTTCACTGGGGGTAAGAGCCAGTGAAAAACAGCTTCTAGTCTCTAGCCCTTGCTAGTCTGGTGGCTAGGATTCCTGTGTTTTCATCCAGGCTACCCAGGTTCAATTCCTGGGCAGGGAATTAAGATCTTGCTTCATGTCACTGATCACCGCTGCCTCTCAGAGGTCACTACTGTTGTTGAATCCAAGCTCATGTGCCTGATGCATTGTGAGTCCTAACAAACCAAAACATCAGCGTTCAGAGCAGACTTATTGCAGGGCCAAACAAGGGCAACCGGGGGTCCATGATCAGTAAGCTCAAACTCTCGGGAGGGTTTCAAGGAGGAGTTTTTATGGGCAAAATTCGGAGAAAAGTACAGGGCTGTGACCTTTCTCTGACTGGTTGATGGTAAGGAAACAGTGTGATGTTCCCTGAATCTCAATCATCAGCCTTCTGGTTCCAACCAGTCTGGGGTTCACAAGCTTGTGCCCAGCCTGCAGTTACCTTCCTTCACCTGGTGGAGGCCTTAATTCCTGTAAAAGAACAAAGAGCTCTATTGTTATGTTTTCCTATTGTAAATATCTGAAGAGATACATTGTTATGTGTATCCTGGGGCTCCCAGGGCGGTGCCAGTGGTAAATAACCCACCTGTTAATGCAGGACAAGTAAGAGACACTGGTTCAGTCCCTGGGTGAGGAATTTCCCCTGGAGGAGGGCATGGCAACCATCCCATGGCAATCCACTGTAGTAATCTAGCCTGG